AACAATCCGGGTCCTCATTTTACCCACCTCGGAAGGATGGAAGGCTGAGTCAACCCTGAGCCGGTGAGATTTGAACAGCCGAACTGCAGAACTGCAGTCAGCTGAAGTAAATGCAGTGCTGCATTTAACCACTGCGCCACCTCCGCTCTTAACTAACTAACCAAGCAAGCACCCTTTGTTAAATGGGTAGTTCTGCAGAATCAGTAAAAGCCTGGAGAGTTGTCATGCTAGAATTCTATAGAGAGGATTTTAAATGGATTGAACTCTCTCTGCCAACAGACAGAAAAGGCTAGAATAGGACCTGTGCAGATCAGCCAGGTTCTACCTTGATAACAATAATAATATATAACTCTATAGAGTTAACTCCCCTCGTTCTCCCTGCCATTATGCCAGCAAGCATTATTTTGTTAGTTCCAAAATTTTATAAAAGGACTTCTAAAAAAATCAGATTTTTATTTTAAAAAAAGTTATTCTTTTAGAAGCATATACTTCCTCTGCAAATTGTATCCCATTTTTTTAATTATAATTTTTAAATTATTTCCTGTCAGGAAAACAGAACCAATAAGATGTTAGAAACTTAAGTTCTGATCACAGTTTGGTTCAATTTCAGTTTATCTGTCTTCTAAATTGAGCCCTGAACAAAATTGTGATCAGTTTCTATCTCTACTTTTTATCTAAAAGCCAGCAAATTAAATGTATGCTTCAGGGTAGAAATTTAAATACCTACATATAAACTGGTTTCTTCTATATTGCCAACTCCAAAAACGGTAAAAGGCAATTCCTATTTGCACCTTCAGTGGTTTTTAGTGGATATTTTTATTAGTTCCACTTTTGGCAAAATATATACTGTAACTTATATTTTGTATATACCTCTTGTGCTTTCTTCATTTGGTGTAAGCTCTCTGTGAACAGATGCACAAGAAAGGGGTCTTTGGATCTTTTGTAAACCAATTGTGATGGGGGAGTAACACAAACTGCTACGTTGTACTATACCAATTCAAGACAAATTAGCTGCTCAGGAAAAAAAAAATATAGATAAGATTGGAGGGACTGTTAAAGAAATACAGTGTCATACTAGTACCATTAAAGACAGTTAAAATAATGAGTGTAAGATTTGATTATAACCCATAGTGGTTTAATTGTTATGAAACCTTCAGTACCTTCTGCAGTATCATAAACATCTCAGCCTTTGTTTAAAAATTAAAAGATGTAAATTCTTATGATTCTGAAAGAAAAGGCCAACAGTTTTCACTTTCAGATTCAGAAAAAGCAAAAATCTGAATACTGCTAGAGTTTGAATATTGGAGTATCAGTTATTCTCACAGGCCTATACAATACATTTTCCATACCTACTTTTCTATTTGAGCCCATTTTTTTTTATTTCATCTGCAAACTTCAACCAAAAGTGACATCTAACCCTAAAGTCTGCAAACTCCATATCATACAAATTAAAATGTGGAAACATGGCTTATTCCATGCTGCTGTTAAAATTTTGATACTGTGCTGTGACTAATTAGCTGAAGGAAATATGGTGATATCCAGAATAAGACATTTTCTTCTTAAAAATGGTTTCAGGTACATAGCATTGCAGATGAGACTTAGGATAAAATACCTTTTCGCAGCCTTCATTGATAGTACTAACACAGAAACTGCCTAGAGAGTGGACAAGGTTATTAACTTCAGCAGGAAATAGAGATTTGTCCTTAATATTCATGCATAATTGAATTGGTATGACGCTTGGGAGATTACCTATGCAGAATGAGAAAATGATCTAAATTTAAAAATATTCTCTGAGCAAGAGAAAGTAATTTTGCAAGCAGCTCTTCTTTCTCTTTATTTTTTTATTTTTTTTAATATAAGCTTAAATACAGAGGTCTGCATTCTCTTAGCAATGGTTAATGAGTTTGAGTTTTAAATCAGTAAAGCACTGTCCCATTTTTGACCTTGGCATTTTATGGCTTGAAGGTTTATACTTCTTATTTCTTGCTGATCATTCTTCATTCTGTTAGTGTTTTTTCCCGATAAAAGATTATCATTGCATTTTGGCTACAGTGAAAAAAGACATTATTCCAAAGTCTCCAAGCCTTTGTTAATATTTGGATATGAATCTATATCTGTATTGGTCTCTAAAAATTAGTTGACATAATTAAATCACGATAATGGAAATGTAAGAATTATAAAACAAAACCATCACCTTTTGACATATCTTACGCATCAAATATTCAAACTCTCACTGACACAAACTTAGAAATGCTGAATAATGATTTCTCCTGTGCGCTGCTTGGAGATGGTTCTTGCTACCCATTCAGAAGGCCAACAGAAGCAGTTCCACAACGTTGATTCGGGTTCCCCCAAAAGTGAAGCGATCCGTCCGGTGGTGGACATCATCAGCCATGACGAAGAATCACCTTCAAGGAACCAGACTGACTAGTTATCACAACCGACACCAGTTTATTCGGCTGGAGTGCCCACCTAGGTCAGCAAGTGAGACAGGGCAGGTGGTCTCAAGACGAGTCAGCTCGCAACATCAACAATTTTTCTGTTTTGTTTTTGCATTACACTGCTTCTCATCGACCGTACTAATCTTACATATCACTGAGTCATTCTGCAGTTGATGAATGGACTTAGAAATGTGATATGATCAAAGTTTTCCAAGGTATTAAATATTAAAATTTTAGGTTTGAAAGTTATGTCTATTAATGACATTAGCATCTGAGATGAAAATGCATCAAATATAAGCTCCTATCAATAAGATCCTCACAAGAGTATTATGTATATGGTAACCATGATTGTCAGAAATACAGACTGTTTGTCCATCCCTAAGAGTATTAACCCAAAATTATCTAGAATTGATCTTCCAAATGTATGACAATGGATATTTATGGTTAGACTGCAGATAGTACGTTTAATGTAACTTTAGCGTATTTCCCTGTTTTTAGAATGATTTTATGGTTTAGGATTATCATAAAAATGCTAGTACTGTAATTACATGATTTTCTGTTTTGTATTACTATGCAATTAAAAAGGCTTTGTCTTAATAGACAATATAATTTTATAGGTAGTCTTTGGCTTATGACTCCTGTTTAATGATTTTTCAGAGTTAACAATTGCATTGGAAAAGGTGCTTTATGACCTATAAATATCACGACTGATTACAGGATCATAATCACATGATTAGGTTGGCTGTTTTTTTTTCCTGATTTCTGCTGTTTTTTTGGTAAAAAACAAACAAACCATGAAATCAGGAGCATGGATTTAGACTTAATACCATGTGATTTGCTTAACCCTTGGTTTGCTTAATGCTGTAAAAATGGTCATAATATAAGGTCTACCCTTGTGGGTACCTTGACATATGACCATCACAACTTATGATCAAGATTCCAGTTCCAATTGCCATCGTAAGTCAAGGAAACCATACTTAATGAAATGAAATTATTATTGTTAATGGCTTAATGATAATAATAAATAGTGTAATTCTTTTTTCAGGCATTGCTTTGCTATATTTCCATCTACATGAGGTATATGGAGACCCCTACTATCTTCAGATGGCTCAAGAATATATAAAGAAGAGCCTTAGCTGCTTGACAAAGCGGTCAATCACTTTCTTATGTGGTGATGCTGGACCTTTGGCCGTGGCTGCAGTTGTATATCATAAACTACACAATGACAAGCAAGCAGAAGATTGCATTGCTCGGTAATGTCTCAAAATATTTGAGTAAATGCTCAGTGATACCTTAAACTCTCCATGATATATATATATTGCCTTACTTATGAGGAGGGAAAGCTGTTTCCACCAGAAGATTGATGTTGAGTGCAACATTTGTTATTTCAGACATAATAGGACAGTGAATAAAGCTGTCACTTAACGAAATTATAATATTTAGGAAGGGAAGTACATTCGTTTTTAGAATGATTAATTTTGACAGACTAGAACTAGATAGAGAAAACATTGGTAAATTGCATAGATTTTCCTTGAATAATCATCTGAATTTAAAGCTTCATTGCTAACACTTTTTCCAAATTTGTATTTCCTATTTAAATTTTGCTAAAAAATGCAAAACTCTATTGTTTAAAGCAATGGCATACGAACAGTGATATTTTGACTGCACGGGATCTGAGATACACAGGTCACCTTCATTTTATTTGGGTTTGTATAAAAGTCATTGGTATGAAAATGTCTATATGTACATTTTATGGATTGTTGTAACCATATGTAAGATTTATTTTATATCTATAATAAAATTCTGATGCTACTTTAAATTGATTTCAATGTAGAAGGCATATTGTACATTATTTTTATATTTCTTGTACTATAGTTATCCAAGAGTGTTTGAATACTCTCTGTTGTCTGTGTGTTTATGTCTCTCTATAAAAAATGCCCTTCTCATCCCTATGGGATGAGTCTTCCTCAATCTTGTGTCCTCTACCAGGATTTTGCATAGCACCTTAGTTTTTCCTAGCACTGCGCTCTGATGTTTCTGAGTTCTATTGGTGCCACTCTTCCCGTTTCAGAGTCACAGGCCTGAGTGTTTCCAGCCCTACTGATGCCACTTTGGCCTTTACTTCCCACATACTCTCTAGTTCCTTCTTCAGGCCGTCCAAGTTCTCCAGCTTCTCCTACTCCTTCCTGATGTTGCTGTCACTTGGAACTGCTACATCTAACATCACCACTGTCTTCTGGCCCTTGTATGCAACCACAGTGTCAGTTTATTGGCCTAGTACCTGCCTATCTGTCTGGATCAGTCCCACAGGACCTTATTCCTCTTGTTCTCCACCACCTTCTGTAGAATCTCCTATCTGGACTTTGGAGGGTCTAACTTTAGCCCATAGGCTGTGCAAATGTTTATACACAATGCTACTACTTGGTTATGTTGTTCAGTGTATGCTGTATTATACCCTGTCACTTTGTGTTGGGCTTCCTCCCCTCCCCTCCTCTCTTCAAAAGATAGGGATTCCAGGTCATCCCGCTTCTCTGTTGTCCCAAATCCTGGAAGTATATTTAGGCAGCTTGCGTAGTCTCATATGACTCTGGCTTTTATAAACAGAACTGGAGAAAGACACACATTCTCCATCAGGGCAGTATTCATTTAAACGCATTCTCTATTCTTTGTTTCAGTTGGGAATTTTTTCTTTTGTTTCCCCCACTCTTAACTCCTATTCTGAGAATGTGAATTCAGTATAATCACCTAGTGCCCTCTAATGGTATTATTGGAATAAAGCCTGCAATTGTAAAATAATTGTCCTTGAAGGCTGAGGAGCTCTACATAACAAATATTAACAAAGCAAATATTAAAAACTGAGTTTAAAAAACCTTGAATAACAATCTTGAGTTTGTTTGTGTAGATACCGTTTTGCTAATTTCCACGTGAAATACGATGCTTTAGCATTAATTGTATGTTATTTCCCACCAACTAAAAAAAATTGGCTCTTAATCACAGAGATATTTTTTTTTTGCAATTAAAGATAACAGTGGTTTCATTTTATCCTTGGATTTTCTAATCCAAGTATGCCTAATTCTGTATATTTTCCCAGTATGCGTAAATTTTTAATCATCCGTTTCCTAAATCCTGAGCACTGATGATGTTACATAGCTTGAAATTCTGTTGCCTGCTCTCAAAACGTATGTAATGCCTGTCATCTTGAAAGAGGATATGGTATGCTAGAGACCTCTGACTTCAACTGCCACTAGCATAAGTTCATAACTGACTGTTGAAGTTTTGTCATTCTGTTGTGGTTTAGGGAGACCAAAATATACAAAAATTAATCTTGAGTAACACAGAGTTGTTGTTTGTTCGTAGTGATCAGCAATGCTGTTTTCTCTTAAAGCAGCGGCCCTCAACCTCTTGGGTACCAGGGACGGTTCCATGGAGAAAGGGTTTTTTTCCACATGCCAGAGGGGGCATGGTTTTGTGTGTTGCCTGAATCCTGTGGATGGGGCTTCGCTTGTTTATGGGGCTAGCATGCCACAGACCGGTGCTAGTCCACAGACTGGGGGTTGGGGAGCCCTGACTTAAAGCACTACCCATAGGAAGCAGAATCGTATTTCTGGATGCTCGCTTTAGAATCGTGGCCAGAAGAGGCTTTGCCCAGTTTTGGCTAATGCAATACCCATACAGGAAGTAGGAGGATCTTGTTACAGTGGTTTATACTCTTTATCTGCCATAGTGTGGACTAGTGCAGTGCATCGCACATAGGACTGCTTTTGGAGTTTGTTACAGTTGGCCAATAGTTCAAAACCCAGCAGCCTCCTCTGGGAAGGGCATGGTTCCCAGGTGTCTTCAGGATATCCTTTTCTGTGTAAAACCAACTTTTATGGTGCATTCCTCCTAGGCGGGGATGCTTACATATGTAGTAAGAGGAATAGGAACCTTTTTTTGTTGTGATCTTCATCTTGTGCAGCAGCTGCCCACAAATATCAGAGATTCATGTGGCATCTACCTTGACATCTTTCAAGAAGCCTTTAGAAATCGAATTCTTTCGCAGGGCAATTGAAGCCTGAAGTTTGTTTGTTAGTGATTTGAGATAGGTATGGTGGTTCTCTGGATTTCTCTTGCTTTTATTTCAGGTTGTGTTGGTAAACTACTGAGAATTTATCCTGACCTTCTTAGAAGTGTATAAATTCAACCAGTCAATGAATATGGGAATTATGAAAATGGGTGCTTAATAAATAAAAGAAGTTGTGGGTGGGAAGAAAATGTTGCAGAAAATAAGATTGAAAAGGATATTAAGGTGCATCGTGAGGGGAAAAATGTAGTCAGAAGAGGAAGAAAAAAATAAGAATAAAAAAGAGTTCAAAATCACAGTGTGATTGTAGCATGACATACACACACCGCCAACAGTGGGAACAAAATCACAGAGTAAATTTTGATGGAAAATAGTATATATGTATATTTTTGAAGAGAGCCTAAATAAGGATAATGTAACGTACAGGTAATCCTCGACTTACAACAGTTCATTTAGTGACCATTTGAAGTTGTAACATCACTGAAAAAGGTGACTTGTTTTCACACTCGCAATCAATTAAGCATCCCCATGGCCATGTCATCAAAATTCAGTTGCTTGGAAACTGGCTTGTATTTATGACTGTTGCAGTGTCCCGGGGTCCTGTGATCACCTTTTGCAACCTT